TCTTCTTCATTTATAATTGCTCTACCTGAAATAGCTGAACATACCATTTCTGCTTCAACTAGCCAAGATAAAATTACTATAAAGAAAACTTGATTACTACAATTAAAATAATGGTAAATACTTTTTTCTCTCTCAACTGGGTGTTTCTTTAGAAAAGGCAAAGGAGAAACTCCTCCTGTCTTCCTCTTCAACCTTTTGGATGGTAAACCAATGACAGTTTTTTCATGTCCCTTTGGGCGGCCCCTTTTCTTTAAAATTGGTGGAAGCTTGATGTTTTCAGTGCTATGTAGAACTGGCTCATTATGTTCAAGTGGCTGATGAGAGTCCTCCTAAAAATTAATAATAATAATAGTATACATTGGTAATATACCTGAACTGAAGGACCACAGGATGGAACTACCACTTCTGTACTACATACATCTGGTGAATCTACATTTATAAATATAATTCATTTACCAAATTTTGTAAACATGTAATACCTTCAGATTCAATTGTAGTATGACTAAAAATTATTTCTGGTTTTTTTCCTTGTAGCCAAGCTTCTTCAAGATCCATCATTACTTTCAACCTCTCACTAAACTCACTCATTCCTACCTCACTAGCTAGAGATGCCAATTTCTGTGACACTGTAAGAGCCTTACGATACTTTTCGTGTTGAGATAGAGTCCGTGCCACAGTTTCTGTTGCTATAGCAACAATCTAAAACAACATATATGCTAATCATAGATGTGACACACAATTCATACTTGTAGTGAGTTTTCACTTTCAGCTTCAGTTGATTTAACATCATAGACGTGTTGTAAATACGATCTTTTCCACCTCTCAGCAACAATTTCTTCGCTGAACAAGGGTAAACCAAGCTTCTTTCGAAGTGATAGTATATGCCTACATGGCAAATTCATGCTTGACCAAAATTTACAACAACAATGCCTAGCACTAAGTAACAAACGCCCTTCAGATGACATGAATGAAAATAAAGAGCTATCTTCCGTCTCGACAAAAAATTCATCTGGACCATACTCTGTAGATGATTGTTGTTGAATATACCGAAAAGCATATGGTGTGACAAATTCAGCATACTGCTTTACTGGTGAACTTTCACATACTATCTTTCTCTTTACTAGATCCATTACGGTGATGTGGTTTCTTTCATTGCGAAGACATGAAAGTAAAGCGAAAAAGTGGCGAAAAAATGTTGGTAAAGTAGCGTAGCGAGTACAAACACTCTTTATTTTTGCATTAATACTTTCAAGTCTGTTGTTTGTAGTTTCACCAAGAGTAAGATTACTTCCTTTGAAACACTCAACCCATTGTTCTCTTATAGGATGCCAGTTTGCATTATAGTAGTCAATTACATTTCGAAGTCCACAGTCTATAAGCAGCTCATGGTTCTGGTCATATTCTTCTTCTGATTTGGCATACACGAGTTTCTCGATTAATTCCAATGCATGATCTCTTTCTCCAGAACGGAGATTCAGCTTTTCACAGGTAACTTCTCGTCGGAAGGTTCTAAGAGTATGGAAGAGACAAATAATTAATGAAGAGCTAGGAAATTCTCTTTGGAAAACTGTTCTTTCAACAAAGTCCTTATCAGACATCACAACTCGAGTATTAATCCATGATGAATTATACGTTTTGAATGAACAAACCATTTTCGTTATTGCATCCTCTGTTTCTAGGGTCGTTAAAAAAATAGCAACAATTTCACTGAGACCATTTCCATCGATAACCAGGAGAACATAAAGTGGCATTCGAAATTTATTGAGTTTATATGTAGCGTCTACCATAAGTACCTCGGGGTAGCCTTTAAAGGCACACTTCATAACGTTGTCCTGAAAAAAAATCCCACTCAGTTCCGACTTCTCATCATGAAATAACTTTACAGTTGCACCTATACATAGATATACAGTGGTTAATTTTACTAAATTCTCTATAATTTGTTAGGATAATGTACGTGAAATTCAACACCCAAAATTGAAGCTTGATGTATTAAAATTTTACAATACCAGAATTGGTAAATTAAAAGTTAAAATCAGTTACAAACTATGTGTATGTCTAGCACAAATATAGGGCATAATTATATACATGTACATATTACTATACTTTCTGTACTTGGTTAATTACAAACCTTCAATTTCTGACAATTCTTTCACTAATATTTCTAATTCATTATGATCTCCTGATTTAATCTCCATTTGAGCACGGACATTACTTAAGTCTTTCAATGTTACCACTTTTCCTGTTGTTTTGGCAATGTGTTGTTGTATTAATTTCTTGTTAGCCTGTACATGTAATAAAGATTTAACTTTATTAGACTCTTCAGTGGCTAATCGTCTTTGTCTTGGCAAGTGGTCATAAACTGCCTATATGAATATCGAGTATATGTGGGGTAATAGTAATAGATAATTACAAAAGTAATACACTATATACAGGTGTCATTCTAACAATGGGTGTAACTTCTGCAACCAAGTGCAGCATATAATTATTGATTGTGGTTCATAATAATGACACAATAGTAATAGTAATGGTAACAGTAATTATTGCAATTGCTTATACCTCCAAGTAATAGTAATAGTAAAAATAGATTACATTTTGCATATGTACCACTGTAATAGTAATAGTAATAGGTAATAGTAATACATTAATATAAGAGGCAGCAATAATAGTAATACAAAATAGAATAGTTTTTCATGTATATAATAATAATAGTACTTTCTAATGTAACTGACCCCAAGTCTGATGTATACACATTTTCTAATAAACAAGTTAAAATACCGATAAGCTCACCTTGCTAACAATATGATTGTGTTCATTAGAAAAATGCGTCACCTCGAGATATTTTTTGTCTTTACTTAGAACAGCTTTTAGACCAGCTTGACAACCTTGTTTAACAGTGCTGATGTATATGATGAATTCTGAACTGTTAGCACATGATTACACAAATTAATTTACCTTTGATGTATTCTGTTTCCTGAACCGTTCTTCTTATATACATGTCCACCAAAATGACAACAATATTGAACTTCATAGTACTTCAATTCTGCATGAGCACCTATAACCCTGTTTGGTACACGTTTTGCCGCTGCCTCCAATGTCCTTGAATCTCTTCGAGTGAGTTGAACCAAATGAACTCCTTCAAAGTTCTTTATCTTCTTTTCCAGGTCACAAAACGAAGAAAACTTTTCCCCCACACAGAAAAAAGGATCGGCAGCTGGAGCATCACTGCTACTTGCTTCTTCCATGTTTATTTGCGCGGTTGACTGGTTGTGCGCATGCGTATATCTCCACGTGGGTGTCTACCGGAGCTCTAGCATCACGGACATCGAACGGTTACCGGAGCTGTAGACACTTCCTTATATAATACAGGGTAGAGAGAAAGATCTATAAATCATTATGACTGAAGTTGTTAACTGCAGAGTGATGATAGAAAATTGCTTGTCCACAAGATTTGAATCGTACGTCATTGATATCATACTAACTTAACAAAGCATCATGTCCAATGGTCATTGAATTTTGGAGAGCAGATGTCACACTACATCAACCAATATGCTGTCTACCACCTTACAATAGACTATGTGATAGTATTGAATAAATAAAAAAGGACCTTTGACTGCAAATGAGGGTGC